AGCTTGTTTGAACTCCATTTTTATTGAAGAATTTATTTTGGAATAGTTGATTTGTTGTGTTAATTATGCGCAAAATGTCTAATACTAATTGTTGAGAATTCAAGAATCATGTATCGCTCGATACCACTTGATATGAAATCAACCACCGGATTGAGATGTTGAAATTATATAGCACAATAATGAAATATTTGATCACAAGTAAAAGAATAAAAGAAAACAAGAAAATATGATAGAGAAATTAGGATATTTTATTGCACCAATAATAATGGAGAAATATACAATTGATCCTAAAGTTCTAGTAATCTTATTCTCACATTGTAAAATTGTTTAGAAGAGTCAAATATTTATAGGAAACATGTAGGAGATGTCCAAAATATCATTGTAGAGTTATTGATGAAATAAGATACAAAAAAATTGAGTTCAAATCAAATTCCAACTCTCAATAGGCTTTCAAAATATAATTTCAACTTGACATATGACTCCAATAGTATTTTAAAATAAATTCTTCTTGACGTGCACTTCAATTAGAATTCTTCAATTACTTCAACAAGGAATTCAAGTCACACCCAAATTTTAACAATTTTTACCTTGACACGAATTCAACTGCAACGAAGAAAGCTCCAAAATATTCTTCACTTGGAAAAGAAAATTGGTCTGTAAGGAATGAACTGACTCTTCAATAATAATCAAATTAATTTCTCCAACCAAACACAAAATACTCCGCATCTTCCAATAAATCCAAGCACTACTTTGCAGAATTACCTCAAATTCCTAAAAAGTTATAATGATTTTAAAATTCACCAAATTGGGATGTAACACACCCCAAAGTAGAATTAAACTCAAATACTTTTAAAGATTGTCACTTGCTATATTGTACACATTCTACTACACTAAAGGCATGCTTAACAAAATCAGCGTCCACATATATTTTACCACTGGGTTCGTTCATAGCAATTGAATACAATGACACCGCAAGTGATGGTGATAAAGCGGTATTATCCATATTTTCTGAACTTAACTAAATAGTATTCTTCAAATCCGACCATTTACGTGCTCCTAAATGTATTGTACCAAATCGAATGTCTACCATGGCACTAAACCTATACTGATTCACTCTTCTAGATTCTTCATGACCCTACAAGATGTATAATTGAGACATTTTATGTCCCTCCAATACAACCTAAGTACCTTTACAAACCTTCAAAACTCCACCTCCACCAAAAAACTCTTAACCCTTTGAATTAAGGATAAACAACGAGATGTGATTTTCCTTCAAATCTGGAACATGTCGAACTTGGTCAAGTGTTCTAATTGTCTCATCCAATAGCTNTGGTGTTAAATAATATTATTCTAAATATTAGGCCCTTGTTTTGGCTGCACTAAAATCAAATTTTAGGGAAAACATGAGCTTGTTTGAACTCTATTTTTATTGAAGAATTTATTTTGGAATAGTTGATTTGTTGTGTTAATTATGCTCAAAATATCTAATACCAATTATTGGGAATTCAAGAATCATGTATCGCTCGATACCACTTGATATGAAACCAACCACCGGATTGAGATGTTGAAATTATATAGCACAATAATGAAATATTCGATCACAAGTAAAAGAATAAAAGAAAACAAGAAAATATGATAGAGAAATTAGAATATTTTATTGCACCAATAATAATGGAGAAATATACAATTGATCCTAAAATTCTAGTAATCTTTTTCTCACATTGTAAAATTGTTTAGAAGAGTCAAATATTTATAGGAAACATATAGGAGATGTCCAAAACATCATTGTAGAGTTATTGATGAAATAAGATACAAAAAAATTGAGTCCAAATCAAATTCCAACTCTCAATAGGCTTTCAAAATATAATTTCAACATGACATATGACTCCAATAGTATTTCAAAATAAATTCTTCTTGACGTGCACTTCAATTAGAATTCTTCAATTACTTCAACAAGGAATTCAAGCCACACCCAAATTTTAACAATTTTTACCTTGACACAAATTCAACTGCAACGAAGAAAGCTCCAAAATATTCTTCACTTGGAAAAGAAAATTGGTCTGCAAGGAATGAACTGACTCTTCAATAATAATCAAATTAATTTCTCCAACCAAACACAAAATACTCCGCATCTTCCAATAAATCCAAGCACTATTTTGCAGAATTACCTCAAATTCCTAAAAAGTCATTGTAACACACCCCAAAGTAGAATTAAACTCAAATAGTTTTAAAGATTGTCACTTGCTATATTGTACACATTCTACTACACTAAAGGCATGCTTAAAAAAATCAGCGTCCACATATATTTTACCACTGGGTTCGTTCATAGCAATTGAATACAATGACACCGCAAGTGATGGTGGTAAAGCGGTATTATCCATATTTTCTGAACTTAACTAAATAGTATTCTTCAAATCCGACCATTTACGTGCTCCTAAATGTATTGTTTCAAATTGAATGTCCACCATGGTACTAAACCTATACTGATTCACTCTTCTAGATTCTTCACGACCCTACAAGATGTATAANTTTTATGTCCCTCCAATACAACCTAAGTATCTTTACAAACCTTCAAAACTCCTCCTCCACCTCCACCAAAAAACTCTTAACCCTTTGAATTAAGGATAAACAACGAGATGTGATTTTCCTTCAAATCTGGAACATGTCGAACTTGGTCAAGTGTTCTAATTGTCTCATCCAATAGCTCCAATCTGGCCGTATCTATTCCAGCAACCCGATAAGATATATTGTCTCCAATAACCACGTCATATTTGGAAACAATTTCATATGTGATACATAGGTCCTTATTAGGACACATATGAAGCACACACGCTGAATCCACAATCCAATCTTCATCCGGTTTAGACTCGATGTCAGATATAGCCAAGAGATCTCCCTCACTTACAATATTTTCTGCGAGGTCTGCTTCACCCGAAATCTCTGATTACTTCCCATATCGACTGCAGCCAACTTTTCTTTATTTTGCAATTTGTAGCAATCATTCTTCAAGTGCCCATTCTTCTTGCAAAAGTTACAAATCTGATTACTGAACTTAGATTTCGATATGTCCCTTCCAAAACCACCTGAGCAACAATGGATTCTCAATCTCTGACCCCTGAAACCAGATGCTTCATCTTCTCTTTTGAAAACAAAGTAGCATACACCTCCTCAATGGTGAGAGTATCACGAATATACAAGATTATGTCTATAAACGAAGAAAACGAAGCAGACAACAAATACGATAGAATTAATGCCAAATCTTCTTCATAATACTTTACTTCCAAAGTTTTCAAATCAGTGACGATCTCTTTAAATACAGTCATGTGATCTTTCAATGATCCCCATTCTACCATTCGATGAGAGTATAAACGCTGCTTGATACGCAACTTGTTTGTCAGACTTTTAGTCATGCACAATTGCTTTAACTTCAACCATAAAGCAGTTGTTAAATCCTCATTCAAAACGTCATGAAGAATGGTATTCGATAAATAAAGATGAATATGAGAAACTGCATTCTTATCCTTCCGTAATTTATCATCTGCGGTCAAAGTTGCGGACATCTTGTCATTCCTAGCAACGCACCATCCAAATCCAACTGTGCAAGTACTGCAAGCATCTCAACCTACCATAGCGAAAATCTAATGTTTTGATCCAAAAGCGAAATGTCATGTTTCATGGAAGCCATATAAACAAAAATTTCGAACAAATCAAACCATACGCTCTTGCGGAACTACTAAATCTAGACTCCAATACCACTTGTTGTGTTAATTGTGCACAAAATATCTAATATCAATTGTTGGGAATTTAAGGATCACGTATCGCTCGATACCACTTGATATGAAATCAACCACCGAATTGAAATGTTGAAATTATATTGCACAATAATGAATTATTTGCACAAGCAAAAAAAAAAAAAAGAAGATAAAAAAATATGACAGACATTATGAGATTTTATTGCACCAATAATAATGAAAAAATATACAATTGATCTTAAAGTTCTAGTAATCTATTTTCTCTTATTATAAAATTGTATAAAGTAGTTTAATATTTGTAAGGAATGTGTAGGAGATGTCCAAACCCTCATTGTAGAGTTGTTGATAAAGTAGGATACCAAAAAATCGAGTTTAAAACAACTCCAAGTGGGCTTTCAAAATAGAACTTTAACTTGACATAAGACACCAATAGCATTCCAAGCTAAATTTTTCTTGATGTACACTTCAATTAAAATTTTTCAAATACTCCAACAAGAAATTTGAGTCACACTCAAATTATAACATGATTGATGGAGAATATGTATTTAAAAAATAAGAAAAAAATTAGAATTTGCGTGTATATTATTTTATTAAAGAATGTTTGGTTGAAAAGAAAAAAAAGAAAAATGTATTTTAAAAATAATGATGATCAAACAACAGCTATATTTTGGAATAGTGATTTTCTAAAAAAAAAATGCGTGTTAAAAAATGAAAAAAAAATTGGATTTATAAATAATATAATTTCATTAAAGAATATATAGTTGAAAAAATGGAAGTAGAAAATACATTTCTTTAGAGTGGAGTCAAAAGGGAGCTAGAATACAAGGAAACTCTTTACCTAACTTTAGGAATGTGTCAAATTCTAAAAAGCGGTGATTAATTAAAAAAAAAATTCTAAAAGGGCGACGACGTGGCAGATAAGTAAATTACTAATCACACCACGCGCCTTGCCGCACGCTCCTCAAACACGCTTCTCCTATTGAAATCTCCTCTTGCAAGTACAAATGCATAAAGCCATAAAACTCACCGAAAAAATACAGAGTCCCCAATCGTTGCAATCTTTCCCAAAGTCGTTTCTTTCTCTGTAAAATTCGTATATATTAACACAAATACCTGTAAAGAATTGATTTTAATTACTGTCTATACCGCCAACTGTGTTCTTTTTGTGTATAATTAGTAAATAGTGATTTGATTTCCGCGATTAAGGTGTGAAAAATTGTTGATATGATGGAGTCGCCGGAGAGAAAGATGTCAGCGGTGGCGATGGATTTTCCGGTGAACGACTGCGCTATATCGTGCTCGCCACCGACTATGCCTCCGTGGCTCCGTCGGAGGCTTTCCGAGTCCAAGACGCCGCCACCGTCTACCGTTGAAGAAATCGAAGCCAGGCTTCGGGA